CTCAATATGTAGCTGGTCATGATACTACTGCCTTCATGATGGACTGGGCTCACAGTTTTGAGATGGCAGTCAATAACAAACTGCATCAGACTCGTGGGGCTCCTCTTCCAAAACGGTGTTTTGGAAGATCCAAAAGGCTTCAGCCGGAGTACCAAACACAATCCTCTGTGACTTGCAAGCCTAGCAGAGAGGGTGAAGTCAGGATGATCTGCTCCATGGCTGGTGCAGCCACGCGGGCATGGTTCAAGCAGTTAAGAAGACTCCAAAGTTACAAACATGCTATCCTTGCTGGCAAACAATCTCCGGCAGCCTTGGCATACCGTGCCGAATGCTGGATGGCAATTCGCAATGCCAGCGGATTTTCACCTGATTTTCCTACGTGGTGGGAGCAACAAAGTCACTCAGCTGATGGAGTTCCACAAAATCTTCCCAGAACAGGGCCCAATGAATCGGTGATTGCTTTGGCCATCTATGAAAGCTTCCATAGTCACTTCAGGGCTTTTGAGTCTTGGCATTTGCAACAAAGATCAACGAGCCTGCGCATGAAGTATGAGGGTTCTTTGGAGGCTGTTTTTTCTGACCTACGCAATGACCCAAAACCGGGCATCGACCATTTCTGGAAGGAACAATGCTACACCATTTTGGCTGTAGACATGGAAAGCAACCAAGTGCAACTGGACAAACCTGTACAGTTTTTGCATGACTCAGTATGGATGCACCAATCACATATGATTAAGATCACGGCCTATGACGGGGACTTGTGCACAGTTTCTGACCCTGACATTTTTGAGGCTGGAGATGAAATCATACAACGCGCATTCATCACGGATTCTGACGAGGTGCTGAAGACGCTAGAAGCTCACTGGCGCCCAAGATGGAGTGCTATGGCTCAAGCTTCAGAATCAGATTGGCAGCGTATCACACAGTTTGCCAAGGTCTACATGGCCAAACACCACTTTACTTGGCAACCTATATCCAGGTCTCAATGGCGTCACACAGCCAAACAGTTCAGGGCCAAGGCTGCCAGAGGCCCAGACGGGTTTGATAGATGCGATCTTCAACTCATGCCGGATGCTTTTGTGGATTCTTTTCTTGGTTTGGTCACCTCCATTGAAATGGAGGACACCCCATGGCCTCAACAACTTACGTTTGGTACGGTGGTTGGACTGGCTAAGCATGACCATGCACATGAAGAGGGTCATTACAGACCGATCACCCTTTTTTCCACACTTTACAGGACATGGGCGAAGTTACGCACCAAGCAGTTGATTCGCCAACTGGCCATGTTTGTGCCACCAGAGGCCTTGGGTTTTTTGCCACGGAGAGAGACCACGGAAGTATGGTTGCATCTTCAGGCACACATTGAAGTCATGCTCATGTACCAGCAGGATTACTGTGGCCTATCAACAGACTTGAAACGTGCTTTCAACCACATAGGACGTGACCAAGTCTTCATGATTGCAGAGCACGTTGGAATCCCATGTCCTTTTCTCAATCCATGGAAAAAGTTTCTGCACGTTTTTGAGCGCAGATTTGATCTGGGTGGCTGCCTTGGGAGGGCTATGAAGTCCTCTTCTGGATTTCCGGAAGGGTGCCCTTTCTCCATCATTTCAATGCTGATGGTCAACTGGACATACCACGTGTACATGAAGGCATTTTGCCCGAAGGTGGTGGCATACTCATTCGTTGACAACCTCACTTTAGCTGCAAGGGAGGCTATGGCTGTTGCTCAAGCGTTTTTTGCACTGAAGACAATTTGCATGCTGTTTGGTTTGCACACGGATGATGATAAAACCTACGTTTGGGGCCTCACCAAGTTCTCTAGAAGCAGCCTATCTCAATTGGGATTTGATTGTCTGACGGACGCACGAGAGCTTGGTGGCGCTATGACATTTGGTGGCGCGCGGCGAAATCGAGTTCTTCGCGAACGGGGCTCTGCACTCCATGCAAAGTGGACCAAACTGAAGCAGTCAAGAGCACCACAGTTGCAGAAATACACTATGTTGCCTAAAGTTTTTTGGTCACAGGCGCTGCATGGCTCTTCAAACTGCCTCATCGCCGACAACTATGCCATGGAGTTGAGACGCCATGCCACCAAGGCGCTGGGGGTTAGTGGAGCTGGCTCAAACCCTATTTTGAGACTTTCACTTTCAGATGATATGGCAAATGACCCTGGTTTCTTTCAATTGCAGCTCTGCCTTACTACGATGAGACGTATGCTGCGGAAATCACCGGACATGTTGCCTCTCTGGAAGATTTGGAAGCATGGTTTCTCGGGATCGCTTTTTCCCGAGCCTTTTTCCAGGCTACTTCACTGCATTTCTGGCATTGGATGGGCCATCTTGGAGCCTCCTTGGTTTCAGGATCATGATGGCCTTACTTGGAACCTCCTTACCATGGACAACAAGACTCTACGAACGGTGCTGGCTGATGCATGGTGTCAATATGTTGCAGCACACACCAAACACAAGACAATGAAGGGATTGCATGGTCTTTCGGGCGACCTTACATTACTGGGAGCAAGGCGCCTTCAGCCTTTAGAGCGTGCAAGACTCTCCGCTCTGCATAGCGGTGCCTTTATCAGCAACAATGAGAAGGCCAAGTTTGACATTGAGAAGACGGCTATGTGCGTCAGATGTGGGGTGGAGGATGACAGACTTCATTCATTGGCTTCTTTGTCCTCGTTTTTCCAATCTGCGCTCAGCCATTTCGGGCTGGCTTCCGGCTTCCTGACAATGTTGAGCTCCCGGCATGCACGGTGCATCATTTGCTGGTTCCAAGGCTGCCGCAACTGGTCCAATGGAGGAACATTTTGTATCATCTCCCTGATCAAACTAGAAATTTTCTTTTTGTTCCACCAACTTCGGGGTTTCACCATGTTTTTGTTGATGGCTTGTTCCATCGACATTCATCCAGCCCTGAACTTGGCTGCCTGGGGGTGATCGATGCGACAGCTGGACTGGTCATTGCAAGTGGGCATTTGCAGGGCATCACGCAGACCATTGACAGGGCTGAGTTAACCTCACTTTTGGTTGCACTGCGATGGGGAGTCACCACGGATATCGAGCTATGTGTCTGGACGGACTCTCAATCAACTGCACACATGGCGGAGTACATCCTGGAATTTGACAACATCCCTGTAAGACCTCTGGCTTTTGGTGCAACAAGCCATGCGAGATAGAGCAGGGCGCCAAACTTGGGTAAGATGGATTCCTTCACACCTGGATCCTTCACAGGCGGAGGACGCCTTCGAGGACTGGCTGATTCACTGGAATGGACTTGTGGACCAACTGGCCACCACTGTCAATGCTGACCGATCGGCTGATGTCTGGACGCAACGACAAGCTCTGAGGAGTGCCATCTGAAGTTGGAGCCGTCGAGTGGATCAGCTGCGGCAATTCTTTTTCCTGGTGGCAGACCAACAGCAATGTGGTGGAGAGGATGCGCCTGATCAAATCCAATGCATTTCCTCTGATGAAGAAGCGGATGACTGGCTATGTCTCTCATGGGAAGATCATTTGCCGGTGAATTGGCAAGTGCAGTGCCAACATGGCAAATTTGCTGTCCCTGGGGGATTCTTGGTTGCCATCATTGGGTGGATTTGCGCTGCGGAGCGACTACAGGGCAGAGTGAGAATCCTGAGCGACCTTGAATTCGTTTTTCTTTTGGCATTAGATGCTGAATTTCAGTTTCCTTTTTTTCAGCAAGGGTCCATAGTTTTGAGAGCTCCGAACTCTCTTTTCCAAAGACCCACTGTGGGACACATGTTCAGATCTGTGCAGGATGCAATTAGATGTATCGCTGACATGTATCCTTTTTTGCATGTGAGAACACCTCCTGCGCCAGCTGTTGGGCTTGACATTCATATGTGCATTGCTGGCTCCAGGCTACCATGTCCTGAGCCACTGTGGCAAGAGGTGCAAATTAACATTAGACGTTTCACCGCCACCAGGCCGGTGAGACGCAGCCAGGACCTGTCAAGGCCGATGACCTAGAGACCGAGGCAGCAGCTGCACTGCTTTGCAGTGCGTGCTGCCACAGAAGATGTCCGCAATAAAATTTACATGGTTTTGTAACATGCCAAACAACGGCTATTGATTTGGAGATTCATGTCGATCTATCTCCACATCAACAATTTGTGGCCCCAAAATGGTATATCCGTGTGTGTGTGTCTCCTGTACATTTCATATTATTATTGTCATTGTACACAGTGCATAGCTGCGCATAGCTGTGCTACCCCATGCCGAAACAATCAGATACCCCATGATTCCACACCATCCAATGGCCGTCCACCACTGACAAGCAAGGCTCTATTGCCGCCTGAGTGTGAAACCCAGGACAAAAAAACACCACAATCAGAATGGTGGATTTTCACCGAACAGAATGTTTCAACAGGCTGGCCACAAAAAACTGGAGATTGAGCAGCACACATTTGGTCTCAGAAAGCAACAAACATGTCGAGATTGATCAGCAATATTTTGTGACCAGGGGTCAAATTGGGATATATTATGAAAATAAAAATAAAACAAAAGTCACAAAAAATGCGGGGCCAATCAACCAACCACAAAACATTTGACCAGTGGAAATGGGCAGACAAATCAATCCCACTGACTGTGGAGTTCTGGCTCAATTCTCGGCTAAACAAAGATGTGACAGATTTTGACACTTAGATGATGGATGGATACGGTTGGACCACTTGAACAAAGTGGTTGGGGGAATTGTCAATATGTGTGAAGCATAAACCCAAACCGCCAATGCTTGTCAATCGACCAACCTGCATCTTGCAAACCTTGCAAAAAGGGCTCAAATACAAACCAATCAATGCACACATGTCTTGTCGAAGTGTGAACGCAATTGTTCCTCTAATTTTGATGTCTATGTCCCAAGCTTCAACCCTTTCACCAACCTCCCCTCCCTTTACACCGCTGGGCTCCCCACAGATGGGCACTTGATGGTGATCTTTGCAGACCAAACTGGGTATGAGGATGCCTGGCATAACTTTAGTCAATGCGCCATGGCATCAGGCTCATGTCCGGGTCAAACCCCATGAAATTCCTTGATTTTCTGCTTGTGTCATCTCTTGTCCCTGGCCGCCCGGTTTCTGCCAGGCTGACGTCTGTTGCCAAGGCAACTGCTCTGGCCGTGTCCCAGTTCCCAAGCCTGGCAAGCTAGCAGTTGCCAAGAGGCTTTTCATGAAAATTAGGCGAGAAAATCATGTTCCATGTTTTTAGTCAACTTTGGGAGGTAGAAACACTTCGTGCACAGTGATAATTATGATTAATTGAGTCAATAGAGTAGTATGAAGGGAAAGATCCCGAACCGATAGAGGGATATTGCCGACCAAGAGATACAAAGCTGTGAGCGTGACCAATCAAACCTGGGGGGTATGCCTACTCAAACTGGTGGGGGTTCCACATCCAAACAACATTGCCACAAGAAGACATAACTGCAACATATTGCAAACATGTTCGACTCAAATCCTCCTCAATGCATGCCAGGCTGACTCTGGAGCGGAGCCAACCACTGCGACGAACTGCCCAAAGCATGTTTCTGCTCTGACCGAGAATTCCTTGGCACGAAGTCTGTCGTACTATGGGTTTATCTCCGAACAGGGGATGCCGCACAAGTAGTTGATGATAAAACCATAGGATGTATTTTGCAGACAAACTAACAGTCTGGAAAATGATATCATCAATTCAAATCATCTCCAGGTAGGCACAGAGACCCAATGCATTTATATTGAACAAATATCCAGGGATTTCCATGGTCGTCCCTTTGCTTGTCTAGCGGCCCTTTCATGCCCTTTCTAGGGGTCTCAGAATTGCGGAACAGCAAACGCGTCGATAACCAAATTGCTCAGTTGTATGGACAAATCCTGTGGTGGGGCGTCCCTGAATTCCCATTTCAAATTTGGGATCAAACTTTGTGAGAACTTTCGGATCCACGGCAATTTGGGGCGCATTGGATCCTTCCAACATGTTGGATAGCAGACCCCAAACCTAAGTCATTCCTTTCCTCGACCCTCCACTTCCGGGGAAAAACTTGTCATTTTAAGAAGATTGGTCAAACAACCCAAAAAATGTTTCACTTTGATCCAAACATGTATGTTTCTGGGAAAATCTCAGCACTACCCCCCCGTACACAAAACGTGCTGGGCACTCCATCAGAGGGAGCTTCTTCAGCCAGGCCAAGAATTGCAGAAAATTATCACAAAAATATCAAAACATATGAAAACATTAGAACACATTAGGAAACATTATTTCAAATTAAAACAAATTAAAACACATCAAAACAAATTAAAAACAATTCAAATTTAACATTCAGCATGCCCACATCCTGCACACTGCAGCACATGCTCCGTGCCCCTCACTTTTTTTTTCTGTGCTAGGTTCTGCTGTACTTAGTCTTAGGTGGCAAGTCTGAAACAGACTATAGTGACGGACATGTACTTAGAACATCAATTTTTCCAAAATTTCGAAACCTCCTCTTAGAACATCAAAATTACCATACTTAGAACATCAGAAATGTTTCTAAGTACGCACTTAGAACATCAGAAAAACATATACTTAGAACATCTCCATTGATTTTTGCATACTTAGAACATTAAAACACACATATACTTAGAACATGTCCTGTTACTTTGGTAAATCTGCATATATACACACAAATACCTTGGTGAACACCATACTTAGAACACTTTCTCCCCTCACTGCTGCAGCATTCTATACCTTTTCTTCGGGAACAATATCCCAAGCAGTCTTCGCTGCAATGGGAAGGTCTCTAGTAATTTGTGGGTTTCCTACAGGGGGTAGTCAAAAAGCATAGGTTTCAATACTAAAATGAGCTAGAATGAATTAATGTATATATGGTTCCCACTGGGATGTTCTAAGTATAGGTTGGAAATGTTCTAAGTATAGGTTTTGGGTATGTTCTAACTACTTTTTTTGAAACCCATACTTAGAACATCCCCGCTGTGACGATTTTCAGTTTTTTTTTCCAAATGATGTTCTAAGTAGTTGTCCGTCACTATAGAACATTGTTTGCAATGACCCCTGCTTGCTGCACCTCTGCTTCTTTCAGTCTATATTCTACTTTGTTTGACATTGAACCCTGCCAAAATGATGATGGAACTATTAAGATAGAATCTTTGTAATGATGATGCATATTAAATACAAGTTATTTTAACACTTAATCACATCTGGGGTTGAGGGTTGCTTTGATATTAGGGATTGCTGGCAAGGGCCAATTTCATTACAATTACAGTTACCCCAGTTGGTGCTTACAAACTGTGAACAATTGTGCACAGGACCCAGTGATTTCTCCACGGTGGTTGACTCCGAAGCAAACTCCACTCTACGTGTGATTGCCCCCAGGAGCACATCCTGGCACACCAAGAGGGGAAGCCCCTCAAGGGTTGCGGAACAAAATAATTACAAAAACAAAAGTATGCATAAAAATTCCAAAAATGCGAAAAATTAGAAAAAATGAAAAAAATAGAAAAACATAGAAAACATCTGGAAAAAATGAAAAATAATAAAAACAAATACAACAAATTACAAATTTTGGTACCTCCTGCGCCAAATTTTAGTATTCGATTTAGTCTGTGTAGACTAATTTTAGTATTGCTGCAATGTCCTTTTTTTTTGCAGACTTTATCAGAAAATTTTACAATATATTGAAATATTTTTTTGAGGAGAATTGCATCTAAATACAAATAAAAAGTGCCAAGTGCTTATAATATAGCTGCGAGTAAATGTAGCACATGCTTAAACAAGACAGGTACAGTGCGTCACAACCAATTACTTGATAATAGTGTATTTCAATACATAATTAATCTTTTGATACTCTTATTACATTGACCAGAAAGACAGTGCAGTACTATATCACATCAGAATGTATGAGAAGGGGAGGTCGAGGTGGGCCACAATGGCTACCAGGGCCACAGCATATGTCACATCATGTTTGCCCCAAAAACAGGTATGAAACATGATTATCATTGAAATTAAATCTAATTAAATCTAATGAAATCTATTGAAATCTAATGTTTCAAAATGATTTATAATTTGTTTTATATAATTTGTTTCCAAGCTGATGAGAACCCCTCTGATGAGACTCCTTGTTCTCACAGAAGACTAAAACAACGAGATTTCAGGATGCGGGTTTTTGCGTTTTTTTTTGTGGGTTTTTGCATTTTTTTTCGTTTTTTTTGCGAGGGTTTTTTCCTTAGTCGTTTGAGGCGCTGCAAACATTTTTTGGCCTTTGTCTCACCAAGCCCAAAAACATGCAATCAAAGTCCTAAATTCGAAGACCAAAGTAGTATCTATAGGTATTTTGGGTAAAATCAGTCGATATAGGTCAAACTCCGAAAACACCGATATATTTTCCTAGGATTTGGAGGGTCGAGGTTATTATGCATCTCAAAAACTTACTGTATACTTTGTCATCCATAAAATCCATACAATCCATAAAGGATCATAAATTTCAACCGCCCTTTTTCGGCAAGACACGAGAACCCTTTCGTTGGGCACGACCTGGCCAGCACAAAGAAATTGTAATATATGCAGCCAAAGCATTCTGCATATACAAATGAGCAATCTCGGAAACACCAGGTTCACGGAAAGGACATCCACAAAATTGGGAAGGTTAATTGGCAGGGTATTACCACCAGCAGTAGGGATGCATGGACGAACTGGGAACAGCGAGCCATTACCGCTTTAGCACAAATGGCAGCGCATTATGCTGCATTTGCTGCTACTGTGCGATGAGTCTTTCCGGCTTCTAGGATATTATATAGATGATATCAGCATCCTGAAGTCTTTACAAACCGAAACACCCCAGCGATTTTGGGTTGGGGACAACGCCGCATCCATCCTGATCGGAGCAGTCGTTGACAGTGGATTCAGAGTTGCTCAAGCCACCTGAGGCTTCCAAAACCCGCTACCAAAGAAACAAAACTGTTTTCAGTGAAACAATCATGCAGAAAGTCTCGATTCGGATGGTGAGTTACTTCCAACACTTTGCAGACTGATTGCATCTTGACTTGGCGATGTATCAAAACCCTGGTTTCCCTGGTTTTCATCTCAAAATAGTTGGTATGTCATGGTATGTCCATGGTCATCTCCCCCCAAACTCGACACAGATACGTGTCACTTGAGAACTTCAACTGCTGAGCCAGGCTACGCGTCTCGTCGTTCACGATGGTGATGGCCCCGGCACTGTTCTCACAATGGGCGCCAGGGCACGATGCCGGCAGCGGGCCAACAGCCTCAGCTGGCTGTAAGGGCAGCTGGCAAGGCTGGCAAGGCTGGCGGAGCTGGGTGGCAAAATGGTATATTGGATGTATCATGAAACAAACATCAAATGCACATGGATATACACTGATATACAAATCAACAACGAAGCTTTTGAGGGCTGGTCTGCAAATGGTAGAATATTGAACTGATATAATAAATGTGTATATATATAAAATACGTATATATGGTCCAGCGTTCCAACCCCCTACAGGACTTTGCAGGGCCTCCTTCCTTATTTCAAGCTCTGAGTTGTTACATGTTCATACTTTTGTAGGAAATTCCTTTCAAATCCTTCGAAGTCGGATCTGAACCTGTCCTCTATTTGTTTTTTGCTTGTACCTCGATATCATTCAAACAGACCGCGGAATGCTCCTACCTCCTCTTGAAGATCCATCAGTGGCATCTCCTCCTGATCACGGATAGGTTCCAATCCACAAAGCTTGAAACTGATGGCTGAACCCTTCCTGCAGTTCCTGCTACCGTGAGGATCAAACATAAAAATCCCCGTGTGATGCCAGGGGGGGTGCGGCCCGAAAAAAAAATGCAGGGGCCTAAGACCAACATGCAAATCGAATGATGGGGCATAAGGTAAGATAGGAAAATACAAGCAACACAAACTGGACAGGCACTAAGAGAATATGGCGTCAGGCCCCCCCACCTCGCAACTGTTGGACGTGGGGCCCCGGATTTTTTTCCCTGGGTTGATCAAGAAGTTCTCATAGGCAAAGCATGGTCACAAAACAAAGATTTTCTGGCCCTGCGAGACCTCCCTCCTTCTGCGAAAGTGTCTCCTCTTCCTTGCGGAGTGTCTCCTCCTCTTCGATACGGAGTCTCTCCTCCTTGTCACGGGCGACTTCAAGTCGACAGCTTGAAATGATTGCGGATTCAGTGAAACAATCAACATCGCTGAAACGCAAAGCATGGACCCCAAATATATAATGATTTTCTGGTCTTGTTTCTTGATTCTTTGAGACCCTGCAAGACCTCCCTCCTTCTGTAAATGTGTCTCCTCTTCCTTGCGGAGTTTCTCCTCCTCTTCGAGACGGAGTCTCTCCTCCTTGTCACGGGCGACTTCAAGTTGACAGCTTGAAATGATTGCGGATTCAGTGACACAATCAACATCGCTGAAACGCAAAGCATGGACCCCAAATAATGATTTTCTGTTCTTGACTCTTTGGGACCCTGCAAGACCTCCCTCCTTCTGTAAATGTGTCTCCTCTTCCTTGCGGAGTTTCTCCTCCTCTTCGAGACGGAGTCTCTCCTCCTTGTCACGGGCGACTTCAAGTTGACAGCTTGAAATGATTGCGGATTCAGTGACACAATCAACATCGCTGAAACGCAAAGCATGGACCCCAAATAATGATTTTCTGTTCTTGACTCTTTGGGACCCTGCAAGACCTCCCTCCTTCTGTAAATGTGTCTCCTCTTCCTTGCGGAGTTTCTCCTCCTCTTCGAGACGGAGTCTCTCCTCCTTGTCACGGGCGACTTCAAGTCGACAGCTTGAAATGATTGCGGATTCAGTGACACAATCAACATCGCTGAAACGCAAAGCATGGACCCCAAATAATGATTTTCTGTTCTTGACTCTTTGGGACCCTGCAAGACCTCCCTCCTTCTGTAAATGTGTCTCCTCTTCCTTGCGGAGTTTCTCCTCCTCTTCGAGACGGAGCCTCTCCTCCTGGTCGCAGCTGGCTCAAAACTCAAGAATTATTGTGTTTTTCCTCGTATAGCAGGGATCCAGGGTCAACGCTTTTGATCAAAGAAATCACACTAAAATGAGGGGTGTCTGGAAAATGATGCCCTGAGCCTAAAAGAACAGGATTCAAGGATTCAACCTGTATAGAGCGGTGATCCTGCCCGGCAACACTCTGTGAGCCTTACCTACCACCACGAGCAGTTGAAGTGTCGAGAGTACTGTCAATGTAGTCAGGTGCCCCATTATTTGTGTGGATAATTCCTGTATAATCACATATGCTCATGTTGCTTGGGCCTTGCTTTGGTTGAAATATGCCTGACAACATCTGACAATTTACACCCATTTCCGATTGGAATACCAGCAAACCAACCCTATTTTTCGTTTGTAGTTTCAGCCAGTTGTTCGAGGAACTTGCGCGACACCTCTTCCATCTACATGGTGTGATCAACCAGTGGGCCATGGTCACGTTACATAGGCTGTGGTCATCCCAACATGAAATTAGGGATCCTTGCGGCCGTCCTAATTCCCTCTTACCGGTAATGGTCAGTATGATGATGTATGTATGATGTTTGATCATGTTTGATCCAACTTTTTTTCCATGGCACAAATTATGAGTATAATTATATATAATTTGCAAATATTGGTAACAAAAATCCATTTCGATGGAGATTAGGAATCTCCGGATGCTGTTTCTTCCAAAGATAGGTCAAGCCAACAAGACCTAAATTTTGAGGCTCTCACATGGGGCCTCATGACTTGAAACAACCAAAAATGGGTGAACCATGGTGAACCCTGAAACATGGGGCCGCCCCCCACTTCTTCACCCCAGACGAATCAGGAGGCCTCAGCTTCCTCTGCCAGCTGCATCTTTTCAACGATCTCGTCCAGGTCAAGATCATCCGGATCTAGTGGAGATGAAGTCGATGATGTTTTTGCTTGGGACATGTTGTAGGCGCTATAGTTTATTGTTTTGCTTTACGGATGGAATTTTGGATGTTGTTGGTGATGTCAATGTTGATTATGCTGATTATGTTGATTATGATGATGATGATGATGATGATGTGGTTTTAGTGGGTGGATTGTTTCTTGCGTTTTGTTGACATGCGGGGAATGATCTTGGGCTTGGCAATTGGACATCACAATGACAATCGAAGTCAAGGCCAGTTAGCGATGAGTCTCTTGAGGATCAGGTGCCACAAATGATAGCAAATATAGTATATTAATTATATATATATACATATAATATATAACTATATGTATACATATACCTAAATGGATATCATAGGTGAGCACCATCACGTCCATAGCAGTCCCAATGGGACGAACAGGATTATGGCGTCAGTGGTTGGCAATTCACGGCCTCTTGGATGATACCCATGGGCCCATCGTACCCATTTACCAATGATCAATGGTTGGCATCATATCATTGACACGGCCTGGTAATGACTAACAGTTTGCTACTGAAAATGACCATAGAAATAGTGGACCCATTGAAAATGGTGGATCTTTCCATAGTTATAGGTTAGTTTACTCCGGTTGGCATTGACGGGGTTGACACCTCACCCGTGCCTGACCGCGGTCCCGTGGAATTTAAGGTCTGGTCCCATGGAATGGTCCCAGTCCCATCGCCACTGAGGCTGGCACTTGGTTGGGACCTGAGAGTGCCAAGAGAGCCGGTGAAATCTCATTGCAATCTCATTCCTTTTGGGAGATTCATTTTCCATCTGACACAATTACAGGCCTGTCATGCATGGTCTAGGTGCTGTAAATCCCCCAGTGAAATGGACTAACCCCTTGTCACCTCAGACCGCAAAGTCACCATCTGAGACCATCACTCATCTGCCACCACCTTAGATCAGCCAGCAGGTGGAGCAGTTGGTTTCATCAGCCACGATAGATGACTCTGGCAGCAGTAACGCGGCAAGTCCAAAACCACAGAGAATGAAACAACATGAAACAACTACAAATGCTGACGCCACCAAGTTACCCATGCTGCAACCACCGTGATGTCGTCTTGCTTCCTAAGTTGCCGGGCAGCCGAGGGTTCCAAAGGCCCCCAAGCGAGAGCTAACGAAAAACTATCCAAGTGCAGTGACATATCCAGCAAATTCCACAAACAACCACCAAGAATCCAACGGCTGGCCCAGCTATAAACCAACTTATCGTTTGGCGGGTTGTTCTTGTGTCTTGACAAAGCCATGAACATCCAAGCGAATCAACATGCTGATTTTTTTTCCAAAGCAAGTGCTTTGAGCTGTAGAAGGCACACAAATTACCCTCTGGTAATTTAACGTAGCTATTGAAAATGACCATTTATAGTGGATTTTCCCATTAAAAATGGTGATTTTCCATAGCTATGTTAGTTTACCAGAGGGTAAGGTTTATGTTGAAGTCTTCTCAGGTCACACAGGAGTGTTTGACAAATAGCTCGCTACAGCGAGCTAGTCGGTGTGTTTGACAGAAGTTTCCACCGCAAAATTCATCTGTGAGACCTTTCAATGAATTGGGTTGGGATTGCTTGAAACTGCTCAGTCAATTCATGAAAAAATCTTGGATAAGCCCTGCCACCAGCTAAACCTTTCAGCTGGTTTTGATTTTGTGTATATACGTAATGATATGTGTATATGTAATATACCGTAGTGCTTGTATGTGCATTGGGGAGGCGGTTTTGTGTCAGGTTCTAGTAGTACTGATTTGCCTTGCCTGATTCCCAGGCACTGCAAAGAGGTAAGACAAACCCCATCATGAAATATCATGAAATCACTACAAAATGCATCAATCCTGAACGGGGTCTCATATGACAACCTGAAATTCCCATTTTTGGAGGTTGCATTTTGTAGGCTCCAGAAATCTCCAGAAAATCGAGGGTCATCAAGCGCTGCTGGCTTTTTTTCAACTGCATGTTTCCCAGTTTCTGACTGGTCATGATCCAAATCGGCAATCTTTTTTCGTGGACCCAAGTTCCACCATTCTGTAGTGGATACGTAGTAAACCCCTAGTGTATATGAATCTATTATATTAATTGATATTATATATCCACATCAAAATGACAAAAAGAATAGTTAGTAAAACCTCAGGTATTGTTAGAAATACCAATAAAGCTTTCTCTGAAAATGGGATGCCATGTTCGCTGAGGCCCCCAGCCCGCCCATACACTCGAAGTTGTGGCGCTTGCAGTAATCCACGAATGGAACCTGTCCAATGGCCCAGCAGTAAATGGTTGTACCGTAATAATCCGTAATATCATATCAAAATAGCAAACCAATGTGAATCTGATCATAAACTGTAGTAGTAGGGCCTAGTAATTAGGGTGGAAAAAAACGAAAAACAGTGGATTAATATTAATATGTCATGATATAGTAATTGATTTAAATATACTTTAAGCGCAGATCCGGACGTTTGCCCGGAGCCTATGTTTTTTTCGGGTAAAACGACCCGAGTTTTCAACAGACCCCAACAAAGTCGTGGAAGGGTTCTTGGCGTAAATGTCTGGTTCTCCCGGATCCTAGGTTTTCTCGCAGAAAGCGGCCCTTTTGCACCACTTGCATTTTGGATAAGATAGAATAGCCATTAGAAGACCTTTATACGTGTTGCTTGGAGGAGATGGCAGATCTAGATCCTTCTGCAATGATGTATATAATATGATGGAAGAACATATAAAAACAATATAACCCTTAGAAGACCTTTATACTTGTTGTTTGAGTGGGTGGCAAAACAAAATGTATATACAATGATACATATATATATATGTGTATCCTTCTGTAATGATGCAAAATATGATGGAAGAAAAAACGAACGTATATACTATATATATATACATTATAAGAGCTTTATACGTATTGTTTGAGGGAGTGGCATATATATATATCCTTCTATAATGATGTATATAATATGATGGAAGAACATATAAAAACAATATAACCCTTAGAAGACCTTTATACTTGTTGTTTGAGTGGGTGGCAAAACAAAATGTACATACTATGATATACATATATATATATATCCTTCTGTAATGATGCAAAATATGATGGAAGAAAAAACAAACGTATATACTATATATATATACATTATAAGAGCTTTATACGTATTGTTTGAGGGGGTGGCATATATATATATATCCTTCTGTAATGATGTATATAATATGATGGAAGAACATATATATATATAAAAAACAATATAACCCTTAGAAGACATTTATATTTGTTGTTTGAATGGGTGGCAAAAAAAAAAGTATATACAATGATACATATATATATACATATATATATATGTATATCCTTCTGTAATGATGCAAAATATGATGGAAGAAAAAAACAAACGTATATACTATATATCCATTACAAAAACTTTATACGTATTGTTTGAGGGGGTGGCATATATATATATATCCTTCTGTAATGATGTAATATGACGGAAGAAAATATAACATAATATCTCAGATTTTGACTCAATATAGGGTACATTGTGGGGAAAAATGCGACATCAAGGAACCAATGGTAAAATGATGGAAACATGGAGGGAACCCCTTGTGGATTTGGATGAGAGAACTGTTAAAACTATGGCAACAATTGGAGAATATGTGAGCATGGGCGAACGTCTGGTTCTGCGGGTATATTTAAATTAAACATCAATCAAGTCCACCCTAAATTCGAAACCTTTTCAACCGCTGTTCGAACGGTCTTGTCTTTAAGTTCATCCAGCTCCAAAGAAACAGAACAAATAAGGTGGCAACAATGATGGAAGAACAGGTGGATGACAGGTAGCTCTGGCCCCTTGTTTCCATTCGCAAATTGCAATAGACCATCGCTTCTGATTCACTCTGGGTGAAATCTTTTAGGGCTCGATTACTGGCCTCCAACCCCTCTGGTGCATTGTTGCCTCTTGGGTATCCTCCCTTGCATATAGGGGCATGTTCCAAAGGTGGAAGCCCCATGACGCCCCTAAATGTGTTTTGAATGGATTTGAATGGTCAGAGTTTTTCAAGATACAAGGTTTTTGTTAGGCAGGTATCATCAATTTCCCCGGACGTATCCATCACCATTTTTTTGATGACATATCCTAATCGATTGTATACCGGATGGTTTACGTGGTTTGCAATACACATTCATGATGATTTATGTGTGTATAGATACGTATAGATACATATAGATATGTATAGATATGTATAGATATGTATATGTATGTATAGATATGTATATGGATAGATGTGTATAGATATGTATGGTTTTTTCTGCACCAAACAAGCGTGGTTGTTGTTTTTTCTTCACAAAATCTGCACAACCCAGTCAGAATGTCATAGTTGCTCTTAGAATCTCTTAGATATGTTTAGATCAAATATTTCGATTACACCCAGTTACAGTAGATCTTGAGGACGCAGTCACTATGTAGTATAGTTACATATACTATCCAAAATCATCATGTTACAGTTACGTTACATCATGTTATACTTACATATACTATCAAAAATATTATATATGGTTACAGTTACATATACTATCCAAAATATTATATACAGTTATAGTTACATATACTATCCAACATAATTTATAGTTATAGTTACAAATACTATCCAACAAATATATATATAGAGAGTTATAGTTACAAATACAATCAAAAATATTGTATATAGTTATACTTACATATACTATCGAATAAATTATATATAGTTATAGTTACATATACTATCCAGCAAATATAAATAGTTGTAGTTGTTTTTACTATTCAAAACACTATATAATTGTTATAGTATGTTATAGTTACATAAACTATCGAAAACATTATATATAGTTGTAGTTGTTTATACTATTCAAAACATTATATATGATTATAGTATGTTATAGTTACATATACTACCAAAAAATATTATATATATGTAGTTGTAGTTACTTATACTAGCCAAAACATTTTAAATGGTTATAGTATGTTATAGTTACATGAACTATCGAAAATATTAGATATAGTTGTAGTTACTTATACTGTCCAAAACATTATATATGGTTACAGTATGTTATAGTTACATAAACTATCAAAAATACTATATATAGTTGTAGTTGCTTATACTATCCAAAACATTATATATATGGTTATAGTATGTTATAGTTACATATACTATCGAAAATATAATATATAGTTGAAGTCGCATATACTATTCAAAATATTATATATGGTTATAGTATGTTATAGTTAGATTAACTATCGAACATATTATATATAGTTGTAGTTGCTTGTACTATCCAAAACATTATATATGGTTATAGTATGTTATAGCTACATATACTATCGAAAATATGATATAGAGTTGTAGTTACTGATACTATCCAAAACATTTTTTATGGTTATAGTATGTTATAGTTACATATATTATCGAAAATATTAGATATAGTTGTAGTTACTTATACTATCCAAAACATTATATATGGTTAAATTATGTTATAGTTACATATACTATCGAACATATTATATATATAGTTGTAGTTACTTATACTATCCAAAACATTATATATGGTTATAGTATGTTATAGTTACATATACTATCGAAAATATTATATACGGATGTAGTTACTTATACTATCCAAAACATTATATATGGTTATAGTATGTTATAGTTACATGAACTATCGAAAATATTAGATATAGTTGTAGTTACTTATACTATTCAAAATATTATATGGTTATAGTATGTTATAGTTACATATACTATCGAAAATATTATATATAATTGTAGTTACTTATACTATCCAAAACATTAAATATGGTTATAGCTTGTTATAGTTACATGAACTATCGAAAATATTATATATAGTTGTAGTTACATATACTATCGAAAATATTATATAGAGTTGAAGTTACATATGCTATTCAAAATTATATATATGGTTATAGTATGTTATAGTTACATCATGTTACATCCAAAATCCCCAGTCGCTTCTTCAGGGGTCAATCCTCTTCACCGGAGCCGCCCTGGAGCCACACGCCCTTAGGCCCACTTTGGGAGCACTGCGTGACCCGGCTTTGGCGTTGGTGTCCAATGAACGTTCGTGTGCTGCCAATGCCAAGGTCTTGGCAATTGTCTCTGGTGGCCTGGAGTTCAAGAAAACCAGCCGAAAATCCTAGGGTGAAAAATGACAACCTGCCGAATGATGGGTGAATTTGGGAATTTCTGGGGGTGAGAATTAAGGATTTATGAACTGCAAAATTCAGCACTTAATGTGTGAATACTTTGAACATAAGAGAACATAAGGAATCGTTACTGTGTATGTGTTCATGTGATTACTAATAATAAAAATAATAATAATCATTATCATCATCATCATTAATCATCATTACTAACCATTAATAACCATTATATAAAAACCATTGATAACCATAATGAAACGAACCAGTTTTGGTAAATTGAAATGTTTTCTAATATCAACCCCAAATTGGCAGAGCCTCAACACATTTCGTCTCGTCATGGCCTCCACTCCGTGAACTTCGATGACCACAAATGACCGATGGCTTCTCCATGCTGAGGAACTAAACATATGGAGGTTTCCTGAAATAGGGGTACCCCCAAATCATCAATTTTTAGTAGGTTTTTCTATTCTAAACCATTCATTTTGGGGTATCCCCATTTATGGAAACCCCCATATGAGCAGTGTTCAAAACCCTCTGTCATCCCTGCATACTGCATACTGTTGCTAAGGATTCTCGATCCATTGTCAACATGAAGTGTTTTTTTGTTGTAAATGGACCCCTCGGGGTATTGGTCGATACACCAAATCTCAAAAAATGGTTTGTTTTGTACCCCACATGGCACACCAACCATGGAAGATCGCTGCAGCTCGCCATCTAGGCATCCCACGTGCAGCGATCCAGCAGACCCACCAAGTCCTCAGTCCAAACACACAGCGAGTTTTATCTATAAATTTAAATTCCCTGCAACGCGCCCTACAACAAATATCAAACATCTCTGAAATCGAGGTGTCCTATTTATATATATATATACACACACACACCATAATTTGTATATACATAGGCAAATATATATATATATATATATGTATGTATGTATGTATGTATGTATGTAAATAACGATGTAAAGAATATATATATACATACATACACATTAATGATATTGTGTTAAATCCTATCATATTATACTATGATATGTTCTATATTGTTCTGTTAAATTGTATTGTGTCATTTTATATAATATTTTATCATTTTATATTGTATTATAACATAATATAGTATAATATGATATAATATAATATAACATAATAAATAAATATATATATAATATAATATAGTACAATAAAAAATATAATATAATATTTTAAAATATAACATAATATAATATAATATATTATAATATATTAAAATATCAAAAAGATATATATTAATATAATATGATATAATTTAATATAATATAATATATTCAAAAGTATATAATATAAAATAATAAATTTAAAAAAAAACATGATATAAAATAAACTTGTATAATAAAAAACATATAATATAATTATAAAAAATGTAAAATATAATATAATATAATATAAAATATAAAAAATATAATAAAATATAATATAATATAATATAATTTAATATAATAAAACAATAATATAATATAATATACTAGCATATAATAAAACATAACATAATATAATATGATATAATAAAATATTTTAAAATATAATATAATAAAATATAATATAATAATATAATATAATAAAATATAATATAATATAATATAATAAATAATATAATATAATATTAAAAGAATAGAATGAAATATAATTTAAGATACGATCAAATATTCTCTTACATATATATAATATACGATACATTCTGTAATATATATATATATATATTATATTGTCAAATATTATACAAATACCTATTCTACGCACTATATATGTCACCACAAATACATACAAATACCAGCATTGTCTACTAGGACATAGTATAACACACATTAGCATATGTCACAGTATGTCAGATAACCTTAGCTGGGAGACCAGTCTGAAAGC